AATTGTTAATCTAACCACTCTAGTCCAAATCCATCCTGCTAAGCCCAAGAAATGGATTTTGCCTGTTGAATTAAGCTAGACTAAACTTGGCCCAAATATTAGGTCGGAATTAAATGTGAACAAGTTTAGATTTTATTAGGCTCAACTTGATTAAAGTCCGGCCCAAATAATTGTATATTTACTCATATTATATACTCCCTCCGTCCCATTGATAGTGTCATACTTTCCTTTTTGGGCTGTCCCAAAATATTTGTCACTTGCTAAAAATAGTAAAGACTTATCATTCACTTTCACTCTTTTACCCTTTTGGTCCCCACAATAATCAAGTTATGTGTGCCCTTTGAGCCCACTTGTTCAGTATTCATGTGTTTGAAAAGCCCATATGAATATGTGCGTGGAGTAAAAAACCATGAGAAACTTGGTTGAAACCTCAGCGTGCAAAGCACGCACAAGCTATGTGCAAACAAAACAAAAGTTCTGGTCCTACCATCCAGAAGTTGTTTAGGCTTTAATTTGAATTGGCATAACCGATTGCATTTACACGAAGAGCTTGGGCGAGGGACAAAACGGTAAGCAACTCACCTATGCTGGAACTATTCATAAAAAGCACAGTTTTCTAAGTGCGACGAAATTTTTGGGACGGAGGGAGTAATAAATATAATTTATAATTTTGTATTATTAATATTTTTCCGTAAGTGGGAGCTGTTGAATTCAAAACCTCCTACTCATACTCCCTCCTACCGTACCATCTGACCAACACCTCCATGTAATTTATAATTATGCATATTATAATTTAAAAAGTAATAGTTAATAAGTAACCATATAATAATACATAAATTTATATATACTTATATGAGTAAATCTTACATACACTGACAGTATATACACTATCATGGTTGGATGCATGACAAATGCAAAAATTGGGTTCCAAATTCAAATTTGGATTATATGTTGTATATCCAATGGTGAAAGTGTATACACTGTCAGTATATATAAGATTAATCCTATTTATATATTAAATTGTGAGTTTAGATTGAATCCAAATTAAACCCAACACTAATAATTTTATGAGTTGAATATAAGCTTTATAGTAATGATCCCAAGGCCGAATGTAGAAAGACCCAAAGCGCTATTTCTTCTATGAGTCAAGATTCGATTTGCTAAAACTTTGGTCACTAGAATAATTTTGAGGTATAATCTTTGTATTATGCCTAAGCCCTTTGAGGTTAAAAATATATTACAATTGCGGTCATCAACAAAATTACAGATTATATTCAACATAAATTATTTGTTTTCTTCTTTTTTAAGCACGAAAATTTGTCTGAAAATGGAGTTAGGATGTGAAGATGAAGTATTAGGTTAAAAGAATGAAGTAAAATTGAATATAAAAATTAGTTTTCAAGGAAATTAGACTGAAAAAAAAGTTAGAAAAAATTTGGAACAAGGAAAAATGAAGACTTTAAATTCATAAAGAGGGTATAAAGTTGAAGAAATGCAATGATGGGAAAAATAGTACTATTCACAGAATCACTGAATATACTAGACAATTAATTGCTGTTAAATGACTAACTTGTCCATAGATTCCACAAACCGAAAATGGATTTGCTCTCTTTAATTTACCGCAAATCCTCTGTCCGATATTTTGTGTCCAATTTCCTGTCCAATGTGAAACTATGTAGTTTCACTTATTATATCTGCTGATGTGACAACTAAAAATAGGTGGCTGTTTGGCTGCCTTATACTTCTTTTTCTTTCTTCTTTTTTGGGTTTCCTTTGTTTACATAACTTTGTTACAATTCTCATTTTTTTAAAACAAAGTATTAAAGATTTCAAATACAAAAGAATATTTAAAAAAGATGGGAATTGAAACAAAGTTGTGTAAACAAAAGAAACCCAAAAAAGAAGAAAGAAAAGGAAGTATAAGGCAGCCAAACAGCCACCTATTTTTAGTTGCCACATCAACAGATATAATAAGTGAAACTACGTAGTTTCATATTGGACAGGAAATTGGACACAAAATATTGGACAGATGATCTGCTCTCTCCAACATATCACATTGTCTTATCAGAAAATTTGAACTCTAATAACATCTCATTAAGTTGGCCTTAGGACACAGAGATCTCCAAGTTCAAATCCCCCTTCCCCTCCCCTTCCCCCTGCCCACTTCTTAAATCCCACCTCTCTCCTATTAGAATTTTTTTTCTTAAAAAAAATACCTGTTAAATGTTGGCCATTTGTACATTCTATATAGACTCCTAATCATAGTTAAATATTAAATCCTGCTTCTATTGTTCACTAATTCGTTGTTCCCGACAGAAAGATTTTCTAATGCAGAACTTTTCAGTACGTCATTTGAATTTTGCCTGCCGGCCAACTTGTTCCTCGGTGGATATAGACATTCAAGTTCTAGATGCTGGTTGCCTATACATTCTAGCGTCACGACTGAGCGTTTTAGCCCCATTTTTTCAAGATCACCCGGGCTCTTGCCCGTGCAGCACCTTTAGCCGTGCCAAACTTCATTTTGAGTCCCATTCACGGAGTCATCACACAAGGAAGAGGTCCAGATTGTCTATCATTATCGAAGGCAAGAACTTTTAACCTAAACATGTTACTTATTTCCACTGGGTGGCCAATTCAGCTCTGTTTATAGTCCTGACTACAACTTATATATTCCATCGAAATTTTGTTCTGGAATCTTCGGCTGACTAAATGTTAGCCTCACATGTATAAAAATATCTGAGCATGCACTGGAGGCCTCATGCAATATTTTGTATGTTGAGCTTGATTTAGACCTATAAAGGATAGAAAGCCCCATGCCAAAGAGATTGCAGCTCAATTGGCTATAGGTTATGATCGTTTGAAAGAGCTGAAGGCTTTTGATGGTACGAAAAGTGGTGTGAAAGGTCTTGTTGATGCAGGCATTACTAATCTTTCCCAAAACTTCATTCTGCCACCTGAAGAGCTAATCGAGGAGTTAAACACTGCCCATCTTCAAGTACAAGTTCCTGTCATAAATCTCAAACTTACAAAGGGAAGATAATAACAATTTGTAGTTGATGAAATAAGGCGAGCATAGGACGATTGTGATTTTTTCCAAGTAATCAATGATGATATTCTAGAAAGTTTTGCTAGATGGAATTTGTAATTTCATGAACAAGATGCTGAGCTGAAGTATGATTCGTCAAGAATTGTTGGATATAAATAGTAACATTGATCTGTATTAATCAAGCGCTGCTAATTGGAAAGACACTTTGATCTTTAGTTAGACAGATTCCAGTCAAGTTGAAAAGGCAAAAGCTCTTTAGCAGGAGTTTAGAACCTAAACTGGCTTGAACATCTTTTTAATTCAGGTCTGTGAGAATTGCAGGTGCGCAACATCAGAAGGGAGAAAAAGTAAAAAGAATATGAAAGAACAACCACTAAGTAGTCTAAATTTATACTTTAGGGACTAAAATATCCCATTTTGAAGTTTAGGAACTAAAGTGAAAATCCGGATATAATTTGAAGACGCAAAATGGAAATGACATTTTTTTTTTCCAAAAAGTAATTACTGTTCCTAGTGTTAGACATTCAATGAAGTCGAGTCCATTTGCAAAGGGCAATTTCAATGTTAAATGGTGAAAATAAAGCTCTTTAAGCTGCGTCTTCAGAACTCGGAGCTTTACAGGCAAATCAGGAAGTAAACACTCAGTTTCCCTGACCATTTCTTCTGTGACTGGGTTGGCTGGAAGCCCGTAAGTAATTACTAAAGAGATACTATGCCTTCAGCAACTGCTTCAGTCATTGTGAAGATCATTTTCTCATCCTTCAGTTTTCTCCATTGGCTGATTCATATCTGATGCTATCAAGAATATGATCCCCTCATGAAGAATTGAAATTTGGCGCTTCAGAGCGTCCAGCAAACTTGCTTTTAACGTTTAGTAACTCTTATAAAAGAGCATTGCCTTGAAAGAGCTGTTTCTTTAGAAGAAACTCATTAAGAATATCTCCTGTCTTGTTCCCTGTCTTTCATTTGCATCGAAGTGTTAGAAAGACTCGAGACTTTCCATATTCTGTCTTCTCCTTTGATCGACCTAAAAAAGATATCCTCAGGTATATATAAACATCTCACAAATAGATTTGAGTTGATCCTTCAGAGAGAGCTTGAGGAGACTTATGCTGTTCACTTGCTCCATGAGAAAAATCTCGTCCCTGGGAAACCAGATCTTTGCAAACAAAAGGACGAGACCGGTTGTGTATATCCCACAAGCTCAGCAGAGTTTTATTTTATGACATCCTCCCAATTTGTAATCTTCTTCTTTACATGCTCGGCATAACCTAACCTTGAGAAATCCTGCCTCCCTAATCACATCCCAAAAAGTTGCAAAAGTCCAACTGATGCTTAAAATCCCAAAAATAACCTTAAAGTTAATGCCACAGAGATGTCATTGAAGGGTTCTGTTTATTGCACAAAGGAATTGTAATTTCTTGACCTTAGTTTTGTTTCTGCAACATTACAAGAAATGCCACACAGCAAGCATACATATTCTGCAGACTTGCTTTAGAAAATTTAAACTAACTTTTTGGATGAAAATATATAATGCTTAGCATCAAAACCTATATGGTAGAAGCCCTCTGGCTTTATGTTGTACTACATTCACTATAGTAGGAAGGAAACTTGTAGATATCTAATCTGGGAACTTAATCAAATCATGATTAACTTTAGTTCTTCAACAATCTTATGTCCTCTTTTAGCGAGCTTACGCTTTAGTGTTGCTTAACGTTTTTGCCTGCTGAAAATTTTCTTCAGTTTCTCATGAATAAGGCTTACAGAAACTCGTCATTCTACAATGATATCTCTGAGTGCAAATTCTCCACTACAAAGCTCAAATGGTATCTGTTATCTAAATTTACATCAAACATGTCACAGCTTAATCAGTACATGATACAATACACAAGTAATCTTACTACAAGAAAGAATGAAAATAATATATTTCAGTCCTGAAAAGGAGACCGCTAGTTCAAAGATAAGCATGGTAATCCTGACAAGATTGGTCGAGTCCAAGAGGGTTGAGGAACCATGTCCATAAGTGATCCAGGAAACACAGGATAGAAGCAATTGCAGCCTCATAATAAGCTTCTTGAACATCATTTCTATTTCTACCGCTCAACTGCTGCTGCTGCTGCTTTTCTCCTGCAGGAGTATAAGCAACCAAACAGCGACAGAGCGGGCAAGTGGAGTTCTGCAACAGCCAAGCATCAATGCAGTCAACATGGAATCCATGGCTGCATTCTTCAAGAACCCTGTATTTTTCACCCTTGCAGATGTTGTACAGACAAATCACACACTGCACGCCTTCATGATTCTGATCCTGGTCTTCTTCTGTTTTCATATGCTGCCCTTTGCCCGATGTCGCTGTCATTGTTCTTAAATTATCATCATTATCAGTGGATGAATCAGTAGTGCTAGAACTGCTACCACTGTTGTTTGCAAGTTGAGACCCTTCAAGTGAATTTGAATTCTGGAAGTTGTCGAGTAGGCACACAATTGGGAGGCCTGCAAGCAATGAAACGGCTCTCATCTTTCTTCTCATTGTTAATACAGCTTCTTCACTGAAAAATGCTCTTTCACTTATTCCAGACATCCAAGTTCTCTCAGCCATGATCTTTCTTGATTGATGATTACAGGATATAAAATCAACTTCTCTGCTTCTTGGTGGTACCTATGAGATGTATCTTGAGGACTTCAGCAATATATACTTTGCATAAGCTTAATTTAGCATAGGAGTCTAAAGTATACTGCTAGTTACTCTGAGTTTGCGTGTGAATCTGGGGGTGGGTGGATTCTGAGTTGGATTTGAATGGGATGCAAATTTTGACTGCTAAATAGGGAATTGGAATATTGCTGAAGTGGTTACGTGCTTGTGGGAGTGTAGCCGTATTGGTTATGGAATTGGAAGAGAGAGTGATGACCGCTAAGCTGAGTCAGTCAACTGCCTTGTCACCCTAAATCACTCTCTCTCTCTCTACGACAACGTTAACAATTTTATAACCTAATATAGGGAAAAAGCCTAAAGAAACTATAAAGGATTAATAGGTATAAAAATCGAAACTATGTATAAAGGGCTAATAGATTTAAGAATCTATAGATCAAAGGAATGTTCTAACATCTCTTTTAAATTTTTTTCACTATAGATATGATTCGAATCCCTGACCTACAATCCAAAGATAAACTTTAGTCCTTTTTTTATGGCCATTGAGTCAAAGTTCAGTGGTTACTTGTCACTCTATCTCAAGTAGCTACTAGTACTAGTGTGAGCGTGACTATATAGGTGAAAATTTTTCATCATAGGTGAATCCAAATTCATAGTTTTTCATCATAAGTTTACCCATTTCATTCATTCATTAATGACTTCTACCATTAGTATTAAAACAGTACAAACTGTAAACGCAATGGAAATGTGTGGCTGGCTTTTGCATTTTCCTTTACATTATACTGTTGGGACATTTTCTGTCATGACACATGGTCTATACTTTACATGAACACGAGAGTCATATGCTTTAATTGAGCATTGAATCAAACTGGTGGTGCACGGACATTAAGGTCGTTGACAAACTATATGTGAACAACCTTTAGGCCTTGGTACTGATATTTCACTTTAACAAGCGAAACAATCCTTGAAGCTAAAGATCATGCAGATCGTATATGCCACCAACATTCCTTCGTATCGCAATTATGCTTCTTTTTTCCACTTCTTTTTTCTCATAATTTCAAATGCAAGCACAACCATCATAAAAAATTCAAGTCGCAAGGAAAATGAAAGTAATTCTGGGAAAAGCAGACTATTTTGCACAATTGGTTCCAACTCAAATTCGAAGAAGCTCGATGAAAAATATTTTTTTTTTTTAAAAAAAAAAAGGGAAGGGGGGTAGGGTGGAAGGAGAATGATATCATAGAAGAAGACTGTCAATTACCTCCCCATTTGTGCATGCTCAGTACTTTGGGCTGCAGCTGCCCCCCACATTTAACCCTGAAACAAAAACAAAAAGAAATAAGTGATTATCCAGATTTACCCTAGTGCAATATCTCCAATACGATGACGATGATAATGCAAAAAAAAAAAAAAATGTTTGCAAGTGCCTTTTTTTTTTTTTTTTTACTTAAAAAGTTTGGGTGGTTTCGGCTACGATCATCATATCATGAGTCAGGACAGGTCTTCGAAACCATAGGTCACTTACAGAGATACTTACAAATCGTCCACCAATACAGTTCTCACATCGACAGCGAGATTTGAACACACGACGTTTCTACGAGGAAGAAGCTTATCCTTGCAAGTGCTATTCAGAAACCTGACGCCATCATTTTTCCAACAACGCTAAGAGTGGGGCTCACAACTTGATCCATGCAAGCTCTTTTTCTTTTTTTTTTTTTTTCTTTTTTTGCTTTGGTTGAGCTGCAGAACTATATAAAAAAAAATCCCCCTAAGGATAAACAATAAAAGAACAGTTCGATCTAAAATTTTTCATTCACAATATGTATATTAGCGGTATATGAAAATTGTACCTAAATCTGGTAGAGGATATGTATACTGTCAATGTAAATTAATTAAGGGTAAGTGAGAAATCATTATTGAGTCTTCTAAAACATATATATATATATATATATATATATATATATATATATATATATATATATATATGTATGTATAGGCTAGTTTTTAACTTTTTCTTTTCATAAAAGAATTTTACACGGTTTACACTCGGAGGAAATAAATAACAAAGTGGCGTAGTGTCAGCCCTATAGCAAAGAAAAATGTGGTGATTTGGTCAAATTATGCGTTGCGTTGCGTTTTCGCTTTGGCAGCGATTAATGGGAGTGGGACTGGTTTGTTGGGGGCTTGTCTTCAAAACGACGACTTAGCCGGCAAATTTGTTGACTTTGACCCATTATGCTCACCAGTTATCTCATCTCAGACCTTTTTTTTTTTTTTTTTTTTTTTTGTGGGGGGGGGGGGGGGGGGGTCAAAGCCATTATTATCTTGCCATTTTGGGTAGAATAAAGCCCACGGATATGACTCCGAGTGGTTTGGCTTGGCTTGGAGCAAAACCATTGAAAATTGCTACTTTAGATTTTACTTATCTTTATTATGTAATAATTTAACGTACTAGTCTTATTAAAAAAAATCAAATTATTAATCAAGTCACTTGGTTGTGACCCGTAAAAAGTGCGACCAAATTGGTGGATTACTTATAACCCCCAAAAAATACTACTTAGGGTGCGTTTGATAAAATTGAAATCTGAAAACTAAAATTTAAAATCTAAAATCTGAAATCTGAAATATGAAATTTGAATCGAAAAAGTTATTAAATTGTTAAGTATTAAGTCATATACATTTGAGTGTATATCATATTCAATGATAAGTGAGTATCTCATCACTTATTGTTCGGAGTGAATTTTGTCTAAAAAATTCAGTGGCACTTAATTAATTCAGATATTTAACTTTTGGTTATCAAACGTGTTTAAATATATTAACGTCTAAATACATTAAGTTTGAATATTGAATTGCGTTATCAAATAGAGAAACTATAAAGTTACTAGTTATTTCCAACTTATCACTTAGTAACTTGTCCGGAATGAAGAAGTTTTGGGTTGTAATCCTCCCGTCTCCTTCCCGCTTCTTAAATTCCACCCCTTCCCTGCTAAAAGAAAAAATAACAAACAACTTGCAAAATGTTGAATTACAAGTTATTTGTTTCCTGGTAACTAGACCAACTTTCACTACTAAATTCTGCAACTGCCAACTCATGAGAAACAAAAAAAATACTAGTGACAATGCTAGAGTAGGTTCCCCAAGAGTAATTTGAAATTTAAGTCAAGTTCAACTTCACAAGAAGTAACTTTTTTTTTTTTTTTTATTGTAGGATCTTTACTCTGGGTTTAAGGTCCACAGAAACCCTATTTAGTTACCAATTGGCTGAATAGTAGTTCTTTGTGAGTCCCCCTTTGATTGCTTTTGGGTCGTTCTTAGATTAACTCCTGCGTTTGTTTAAATTAGGTGAGTGTGTATGTGGATTATTTATCGATTTCGATAAAAAACAAACAAACCATTCAGTTGGTGAGAGTGTTCGCCGGGGGGAAGAGAGGTTAGGGCATCCTATCCTACATTGAAATATCGTGGGATCTTACTTTGGGTTTAAGGTCCACAGAACCTGTTCAGTTACCAATTGGCTGAATAGTGGTTCTTTGTGGATCCCCTTAGATTACTTTCGAGCCATTCTTCGATTAGCTCCTGCGTTTGTTTAAATTAGGTGGGTGTGTACGTGGGTTATTTATTGATTTCCATAAAAAACAAGAAGTAACTTGATTGCTAGCAATTAGTATGGTGAGTCATGGTAACTGGTAGTGTTAGGCACTATTTACTCTTAGGTTTTAATTCATAATTCGACTTTTTAATTTTAATGGAATGACTTGTTAATCATTAATAATAGATGTTTTTGTAGCAGTAGCTACAGAAAGAGGTTTGTTTTGATAAGTGTGAAAAAATTCATACAAAAAATTTCAGACAGTAATGGCTAGGGATCAAACAAGAGTGAAATGTCCATTTCCCTAGAAGTTTCAATTCTAATAGCATCCTCACCACATTCTAATTGCCTTCCTGTTTCAATTGGCAACTAGTTGAATCCTACCATTTGGTAAAAGTATCTTTAATACATCATTTTCTACATCAAACTTTCTGGCAAACATCATCAGACCCTACCAAAGGACTTGAAAGCAGGAAACCTACAGCCTGCAATTGCAAAAGGATTGGATAACAAGAAACTTTTGCAGCTGTTTCACAATAATACCATCATTCTGACATTCAAGCCTGTATCGACTTCATGTTGTAAACACATAGGTAACGTTGGCAGTGCATATAAAGAGTCTCATCCAAAGATCAGACAAGAAAAATTTAACCGAAATGTGTTATAATGTAGATATGTTTCAAGCTACAAGGGAAACTGAAATGCAGAATATCGAAACGTGAGAGAAATTGTCAGAACTGCCTGATACAAGTTTGCCCATCCTTTTCCCGGATGTTGGGAGACCATTGTAAATTGTTCTTCACCTTCAAGTAAAATAAACATTGGTTATCATTTATAATTCCAAAGCAGAATATTTTCAAATGGACCAAAACTTTTGCTAAGAGATCCATGCAATCATGGAAATTGCTTAAATTTGACATCAATCAATACTTTTGAAGACGTACATGTATAAACAGAGAGGGATTAAAGAAACAACTAACTAACCATCAACCACGATGAATTACAACATTAAACTAAAGTCATAGGTTGTAACAACTAGTTCTGTACACCACTATTAGTCATTGTTCCATTTCCATTAGTTATTCTAAATCTACCTAATATCAAAAACTTTGGGGACTAGATTTGTTTTGGTCGAAACTTTGGGGACCAATTTGGCGCACAGGGCAAACATTGGGGATTAAAATTACACTATCGGTGTATACACTATTATCATTAGATATTATTTTTAGTTTTTGCAGCTGTAGCTACCGGAAAAGGTTTCTTTGGCAAGTGTAAAAGCCTCGTACCAAAAATTTCAGACAGTAATGACTAGGGATCAAACCAGAGTGAAACGACCTTTGCCCCAAAAATATCAGTTCTAATAGCATTCTCTTCACATTCTAATTGCCTTCTTGTTTGAATAGGGTACCAATAGAATTCTACCATTTGGTAAAAGGATCATTAATACATTAATTTCTGCAGAATACTTTCTGAGAAAAATATCATCAGATCCTGTCAAAGTACTTGAAAGCACGAAACCCGCAGACTACAATTGCAAATGAAACAAATAACAAGAAAGTCTTGCGGCTGTATTGACTTCACATCGCAATCACTTAGGTAACAATGACAATGAAGATAAAGAGTCTGATCCAAAGATCAGACAAGAAAATTTTAACTGAAATGACTTATAATGTAGATATGTATCAAGCTACAAGGGAAACTGAAATTCAGAATACCCAAATATGGGAGAAATTGTCATCCAAGTGCAAGAGAATCAACAACACCAGAACTGTAAATTGTCATCCAAGTTTTGCCCACTCTTTTCCAAGATCTTCTAAGGCCATTGTAAGTTGTTTTTCACCTTCAAATAAAATAAACATTGGTCACCATTTGTGATTCCAAAGAAGAACATTCTCAAATCGGCCAAAATTTCTGACAAGTGATACACACAATCAAGGGAGCTGCATAAATTTGACATTGATCGATACTTTTACAGTCGTACAGAAACAGGGAGGGATCAAAGAAACAGCTAACCAACCATTGACTTCGATGCATTTTAGCATTAAAACCAAAGTCATATGTTGTAACAACTGCTTCCTTATACAGCTATTTCATTGCAACTATCAAATTCTCAGGTGGTTCAGAAATGGCTTTTGGCTATGTACAAAAAGAAGTGCTTTTGGAGCCAGATTTGAAAGTCAGACTATGTACGAAAAGTGCTCTTAACACTTTAATCCAAATCATGAGGGAGCGGGTTATGTATAGCTTTTGAAATTATTAGGGCATTATGTGAAAAATATTAAACCTCCCGTTTCTTCCCTGTAACTCTCTTTGTACTGCTCTTTACTAAATCAATGCTCTGTATGTTTTGCTTCGTTCAATAAGGTACAAGGAATTTTGAAGCTTATGCTTGTCGGCTGGTCCGCAATCCCCATTAAGGTCACTGCAATTTGGAATGTCATAACTTCTATCTAATGTCTTTCTTTAGAGGTTCATCATCTGGAAAATTTTTTTTCCTGTATTTTTTGCATGTTTGTTCATAAAATAGAAAGTGAAGCTCCAAAAACTGAAATGACTGAGAAGTATTTCGCATTCAAGTTAAAAGTGCTAGTGTTTTAATGGATTACCACAAATTTCTTAGCATTCACAAATAAAAGCGTAAGTAATTAGGCATGAATCTTTCTTCTAGTCACAAGATAAATGCAATGATTTAACTAGAAGTTTCAGTTTCCAAAACATCAGAGAAGAGCATACTCGTGCTGTGCCATGATTAGAAGGTGATCTGGAACTCCAACAAAAAATATTGACGAGGAACTTCCAGCTTCTCAATTCTATAGCAAGTCTTTAGAGGTACTTCAGCACTTCATACACAGCTGCCCCTCAGTAACACAGGAATACCGCAGAACCAGAGGGAACCTTTAAATTAATCTGACCAGAGTTTCTCAAGACAGCAAAATGAAATTCTTTTATTCCAACTTCCTACTTCAGAGCTAATGTTCTTGTGTTGTTTCATATTTAGAAATCCTACTTGCTTTCGGATTTTTTTCCTAGAAAATCAAAAAATCAGTCATTGCCTCGTAAGGGTACGTAAGATGCAGAATCAGGACATAGGTCTGTGATAATCTTCATGGTTCCAAATATCTCAGATTAATACCGACACTATCGCTTAACATCAGACTAATTTGTCTTAATAGATTATGGTTTGCAGCAATAGACTTCAGCAGGAAGCCGAAGGATTGATAAAATATGCTAAAATAACAAAGGACAAGGGTCTTACAAAGCCAAAGGCTGCCTTTGTGAATCCTAAAATTTTTAATAACCATGACCTTCTCCAATCAACTCTATCCTTAATTTTCGCGAGCCATAAAATGAATCAAAATGCACGAGTTCTTTTGTTAAACTTGAACAATAGCACTAAATCTTCTCCAAATTTTCCTTGTATTAATCAGTCTTGCATGATTTTATCTAGAAGCCTACAGGAAAAGGAATCAGTAACAATGAGAAAGAAAGGCTCCTCCAAAGGATTTACAGTTTGAACTTTGAAGGAAACAGCCACATGACTACATGAATCCACAACCAAGCAAGAGGACATTTTTATTGTAAATGTGAAAATAGAAGTTGACAAAAATGAAAGCACTCAATAAATGGTAACATCTAGATTATGCAATCTCCTCCCAGGATGTGAAATATTAGGAGTGCAGTCAGTAAAACTGGAATTACTTACATGATAATAGGATGCATAGCACCAGATGGATATAAAGCTCCATATCCACTAATAATGATGGACAAGGACCTCTTAATGATCTGAAACCCCCTTTTAATGGTGGATAAGGACCTTCAAATGCTCAGTTCCATATCGTATTTGCTCCTCCTCCTTGAGTCTTCTGACCGATTCTTCAACAGAATCTCCACACCGCTGCACTTCAATTACTTGCAAGGTAGTTATGTCCACAAAATCGATAGGAACCTCCCTGAGATTATCACATTTCTGCAGCACTAACTTCTGAAGATTAGGCAAATGGTCACAGGAGGCATTCCAGTCAACAATGTTTGAGTTATGTAATTTCAAGAATTTGAGTTCAGGGAATTCTCCATCTTGCATCTCCCATTGCGTGCTCTCAAAAGTTATAGAAAGTAACTTTAGAACCTCGAGGTTTTCCAGACAGCCAATTGTCGAAATGTGATCCCACCGCAAGAAGAAAGTTGATAAAGTCAACTTTCTAAGACTCAAGGGGAAGCAAAATTCGCCACTACTAACACTCCTACCGATGTATGATATCTTGAGTGACTCCAAATGAGTCATATCCTCCAACCTTGGAAATTGGTTGCACTTCTTGGAATTATCCCATGATTTTGAAAAAATACAACTTAATTTTTGAAGATTGGGCAACCCCTTAATATTTCCTCTGCATGTTCCCTATAAGAAAGAGATGGTGAGGAAAGCGAAACCAAGTTACTTAATTCACAGGAACTTCCAATCTTGCCATCTTGCAATGCGAAGGTAGCATGGTTTTCTACATGAAGATGCCTCAGGCTAGTCATGGTCCAAATGCTATCCGGTATAGTGACCTTACCTTTCAGTCCCTTCACAAGAAACGTTTCCAGATTCTGTAAGTTGGCTAATGATGAGGGAATAGAGTCTATATCACCACCAACTGCCAGATAATGCAACTGAACAAGTAACTCTATTCCATTGGCAAAGGAAGTACCCATGTTGACACATTCCCAATCCAGCACCTTAAGAAGCTTAAAGTTTTTAGAAATGAACAAAATATCATAAGGGCATCTTGGGTATGTATCAGTGGTGGCATAAAACAGCAGAGAACGAACATCTGGACCAGAAGGCCTTGACATAAAAAAGTGCTTTCGACTTGCATGAACACATAATCGATATTTCTCGTATGTCATGGAATCTGAAGGATCAAAATCATCAAAATCCATACTACCATCAAAAGAAGCTTAAGGTCCATCCATACTGGTTACCACTTACCAGCTCCGAGAAGTTTTCCTCTTTAGATTTTAACAAGCACAAGCAACGCACAATGTCGTGAACCCGACATGCTTTGACCCCCTCATTGATCTTCTTTTGGTAACAATTATCAAGCTTCTACCGATCAAATCCATCAGGTAATCCTTGGCAAGACCCTCTAAGCTGTTCGAAGCTTCTTTCTGTATAAACCCTTCGGCCATCCATAGCCTTATCAATTTAGAAACAGAAATCTCCTTGTCCTCTTCCAACGCTGTAAAGTAAAGGAAACATGCTTTCAAATCACCTGGCAAATTCTTGTAACTCAGTTCTAAGATGTCCATGCAGCGAGTTTGTTGATCACCAACTATCAATGAGTCTAAGCTTTCTGCAATTTGTTTCCACGATTCATATTCCTTGCTTGTACTGTTAAGAATACCGGCTATTGCAACAACAGAAAGTGGAAGTCCCTTGCAATTTCTAGCAATTTCTGTTCCAACTTCAAATAGTTCTTCAGGATAGCTTTCCTGATGAAATATCTTCAACTTTAGTAACTCCCAGCTTTCATCATCAGAGAGTAGACGAAGACTAAGAAGATTGCATTCAGGTGTTACTTTTGAGACCACATCGCAAAGACGACTTGTCATCAGAATCCTACTTCCATTTCCATCATCTGGAAATGAGATCTTGAAGTCATCCCATGCCCTAATGCTCCACATATCATCCATAAAGATGAGATAACGATTTTTCTTCAAATGTTTATACAGCACCAAGTCCAAACCTTCATTGCTCATGGCAAGGATAGTATCATTAAGCTCAATAATGTGTCTTAGAATATCGAGCAACAAACTTCTTCTACTGTATGCTTGTGAAACACGACACCATGCACGAATATGGAAGTAGCAAACAACTTCAGGATCATTATACACTTTGAAAGCCAAAGTGGTCTTGCCAATTCCTGGCATTCCAACTATGGACACAACATCTCTCCGCGACGATCCTCTGGTAAGTTTATCGATTAGAACTTGTTGCTGATCATTTAGAACCACCACCCCTTCCTCAATGTTTGTGATACTAGCCTGTGGTAATGAAGGCCATAATGTCTGGGGGGCAATGCAATTACCAACGTCACAGCTCTCCTTCTCATGAAGATCTATGACCTGCATCTTCATATGTCTAATCTCTTGTGAAACATGATAAAGCCACGGTAAATGGTTCCATTCAGCAGAACCCCCAATCACAATTGAGTCAATGACACATTCTGCCTCATATGCCAGAACAATAAGATGTGTACGAAGATCTTCATGTTCCTAATGACCAATTCCCTGATTCAAAGAGTGCCTAAAGAAAGACATCAAGATCTCCAAATCCTCATGGATGGATTCAATTTGATGGATTACATGCTGAACTGAATCAAGCTTTTGCCTTAGCAGCTGTCTTAGCTTTTGCAAAAGAAATTCAACGAAGCCAAGTTGAGGAGTCTTGGGGAAATGTAACCTGGGAATTTGAAGATAAAGCTCTTTGAACTTTGGAGTCAAAAGCTGAATTATTTCTAGCGAATCAGAAAGCCAAAAGTCCATTTTCGTAACTGCTTCTTCTGTGGTTTGATCAGCTGAAAATGAATTACAGAGAGAGATAACTCTAGCAGCAACTGCTTCAATATATGTCAAGATCTGCTTCTCATCCTCCTCATTTTCCTTTGGCTGATTGAGGGTTGATTCTATCAAAAATACTAGTGCCTCGTGAAGAGTTCCAATCTGGCGCTTCATGGGGACTATCAAACTTGCATCACTGTCCAACAGCTTCAGTACAAGTGCCTTTGCCTTGAAAAGCATAGCATTCACAAGAAACTTGTAAAGTGCATCTCTTACCTTGTTTCCTATGAAGTCCTCAGCCGAAGAGGATCGATAGAGAGCTTCGATCTGCCTAGGCATGTCGTCCACGAGCGCAAAGATCTGTTCTTCTGTCTTCTTCCTTGTTTGAGTGAAGGATTTCAACAGAAGGCTCAACCCTTTCTGAAGGGCTGTGAATCTGTGATATAATCCTCCAGAGAGAGAGCGAGGAGAGTTACTGCAATCTGTTGCTCCGTGAGGAATATTTCAGCATTTAAAATCCAAACCCTGGCAAACAAACTCACAAAATCAATTATAGAGATTGTGTTGCACTTTTGCCTGAGATTTGAGACCTCCACAATCACAGCCTTAATACTTATTGAAAACTTTTGGACATCCATGTTATCCATCTTTGGTATTTTGACAACACAATATATCAAGGGTAACAAATCATCATGAAGAACAAGCCCATTTTTCACATCAAGCATGAGATCTAGAAAAGTAAGTCGACATTCTTCCTCTTCTAGGAACTCTAGAATCAACCCTAGGAACTCTGGAGAAGCAAGATCGACCTTCTGTTGCAGATCGGACAGCAAACTTGCCACATCCTTTTCCATGTTTAAATCCATTTCTGCAACAGACCAGCACAGACAACAAACATGTGCTGTGCGGACAGCCACTTGTCCAAAACGAGCCATCATGTGTACTTTCCCATGATACCAATCATTACATGGGTGCTGGATAAAAAATTTCAAAGAGTATAGACTCCCATTTAAGGCTTTCATCTGCTTCCTCAGAGTATCAACAACCAAATCAAGTTTTTCTGAGAGTAATTGCAGACTCCATCTTATGGATGAGCAAAAGTCATCCCTGTAGTCACCCGTCCAGGATGAAGCTGGTTGACAATGAAAAGCATGGGAAGACAAATGTTCATAGTATGCATTCCTGATTTCCTGCTTCAACATCTCAATCTGCTCGTTCAAACTGGCAAATACATCTAACAGTGACCAAGGCTCCCTCGGGCAATAGTCCATCCGAAGGCAATCTCCAACGCCTCTCCAACAGTCCTTCCAACCACATGTGGATTCATAAAATAAATAATACTCTCCTCTGTAATTATCTGCAAATGCATAATGAAGGATTTTCCTGCATTCTTTTATTGCAGCTGCAATTCTGGGGACCAGCTGATCCAGATTTGGGACAACCTTGTGGGCATCACTCCATGCTCGAGTATAACTGAGAAAGATGAACAAAAACCTGAATTCTTGTACAAACCGATCCATGCTCTCCATCAGAACTGCATCCGGATTGGCCATTCGCGTCTGCTTCTCTCTCAGTGAGCTGCAAATGCGAGTGACCATCTCGTCATCCGCAAGTTTCCTTGGCATTTTTACCTAATCAAAAGCACCCCTCTCCCTAACCAGATTTCTTTGTGTTTTCTAAAGAAGCCAAGCTAAGTGATAAAAAGTTTCTTGCATCAGGCAGCTAGCTATCTGCAGGTCTTCTTTTCCCATCCCTTTTTCTTTCTTTATACTCTTTCTTATTTCCTTGCTTTATTTTCGTTCCTCATCTTCACGTCGAATGGGGAGATTAAACAATAGGGTAAATCTTTTATGCGTAAATGCATGCCAAATATGCAAAACAATGGCTTTTACGGATTACTCCTATATCCTCAAGTTAAATGGCATCAGTTATCACATTCACTATTACAATGGAGAGAAATTCAGCTGTCGGTGTCAATAGCCATTGTTTTTTTTCTTCTGTTTTCTTCTTTGGATAGAATCCTAAAAGAAACAAGAATGCCTCATAGGTAGCTCGTTTGGAAGAGCAGATTTGGTGAGAAAGGTAAAGGTTATCAAGAAAAGTTGAATCTTTCTCACGCTTGGGAAATTGAAAAGAAATGGAAAGATATTAGGTCCTTTCCAAGCGAGAAAAACTTTTCGCCCATAACCGGCGAAAACGTGAGAAAATAGAGCGGAATGAATTATATCATATGTTTGGCAAAAAAAAAAAAAATTTTATATCATATGTCACTTTTACCCTTAAAGATTACAATATAACAATACAATCTAATAGAATTCTCATGTAATCTTAAGATTTAAGGACCTTTATGTAAAATAGTATCTTTTCTTTTCACTTTTCTCAATCCTTTCTCCTCCAAAACTCCCAAATAACATGGAAATATAATATAATCTTTTCTATTCTTTTCTAACTTAATGTCTTTTCTTTTCTTTCCTAAACTCCCAGGGCCACGGGTAGGAACGGCTTTGACGGTTTTGTGTATTTTACACATCGCGTAATCTTGTTTGCACATGACATAATTTTAATTGTATAATGTGTAACTTTAGAGCAAAATTTTATAAGTCCCACACGCGTTATGAAAATCGAGAAATAAGATGTAATATGAATCATATATTTTTTGTGATCAAATCCTGACCATAGGCTGTGCAGGGTCTGTCCTTCTTTTGACCGTCCCTCCCCTTATCCAAACTCTCAACCCACACCGGACACTGTAAGTGTATCCCCACAAGGGCAAACTGAAGCTGCAGCTGTTTTATTTTATTTCCTAACGAATGCACGGTTGAATTAAAGTAAGCAAAAAGAAAATGAAAGCACATCATAGCATAGCTTTTTCCAATTCCGGGGTGCATCTTTATTCTTTACTAAGAATAAATGTATCAAAAGAATTTTCATAAGATCTTGTGTACAATTAATATGTTAGAGCACCACTTTATTATTATTTTTTTTATAGATAGCTTGTTCAATATATATTATTAAACATAGCAATACATATGAGACAAATCTTACCCGTTTCTTATTTTCTTTATGATGTGTAACAAGTTGCTCTCTAGGTTCAGGGCACCCTCGTCCCCATCTGAATAAATTATTTAGGTTTGAATTTAGGATTATTTTATGGTATTATTATTATTTTTAAATTAGTTTTGATAGGGTTATTATTATGATTATCGGCGTCAAAGGAGCACGCAAAGGAAGGTAAGAGAAAGCTGCACTCGCACGATTCTAGATCATGGCGAGCCCTATGATTGGTCCTCTATGTCCAGCATGTTTTCTAGTCTAATTAGGTAGATGCTTTAGGAGTTTATTTTAGATAAATACCTTATCTTATAGGTTTCCTCTTAATATTACAATTATGTCAAGTATCTTTATAAATAGGTATATTTAGGGTGTTTATAATTATTCTTCCATTATCAATTATCAATGAGATTCCTAATTAGTTATTCCAATTGTTGAGAGTTCTCAATCTCCTGTTATTCTCAGAATCTTTGATTTGTGTTTCGAGTTATAACGTGCTTCTTTTTCTTTGTTCTTTTTGTGGATTTCGTTCATGAAACAAATTCTTATTACACGCTTCCACCACCTCATCACTTTATTTCTTGTGGATGTCAGGAAAATTATCGAAATTAACCAAATCTTGAAATTTTGAAGTCACAAGAGCAAAATAAATCAAGAATCAACAATCCGGGATTTGCAAACAAAGAACCTAGTGCTAACTACTCGGATATTGGGAAACTGGAAAAAAAGGGCACGGAATGGAATCTAATCTACGAAGTGGAAAATATAATGATATCGAAAAGATAAAAGCACAAGAACAAGGTACAAACAAAGTGAAAATGTGTACAAGAGCAAGGTATAAACAAATTGAAAATGTGAACTTTAACCCCTAGACTCCAACCTTTTAGAGATTGAATCCAAAGACTGCAACTCTTATGTATTCCTGGAGGCTTAGCTTCTTAAAATGGCTAATCTATTTGAGAGCAGGAACACTATTCCATCTTATTTACGAACACGTGAGCTTCAAAAGGGTCTTCTCTGTCTCATTCATGGTTCAAAGACTCCGTCGACACCGAGATGACTCGGCTGAGTCATCACTGGAACGGGACTTCCCGATTCGATACCGGAATGAGATGACTCCGAGATAATGAATCGCTGAGAACTCGACCGAGACGGATAGAAACGTCCAATTTTAACCAATTTATTTGCTGGTGTACTGGTGGCTGGTGTTGGAGACAATTATGTCTTAGGCCCAAAAACAGTTTACTTACTGGATCAAGCCTAGATTTCGGCTCCAAACAACCCCTAGGCCAACAAATAATCAGAATGCTTGGTCAATGTATATAAATACAGCCCAGGCCTAGTACCATTATAAGGCCCACCATTTCTATAAATACAGTAATATGTGTATTAGTATTATTTGGTGCAAACGAACATGAAAAAATGAATGAAACTTATATCAAATAGTGCCCTGATATATGACCTCACAATTTTTAAAAAATTTTTATATTTGTATATATCACTGGGATTCTCTGTTTTTAAATTTTCTTTCTTTTTTATAAGTGAAGTCATATATATTCTACGTCATTTTTTTAGAATTCTTGTAATTTAAAACTTATTACAATTAAGGAATCATAGTCAAAGAAAAAGGAAAGACAACCTTTTTCCACCTTGCATTAATTTGGAAGATATATATGTTAGAGTCTTTCATATTGTTTGATCAAATCAATCCTTTTGTTTCCATTCCAATTATCAGACAAGTCTAGGTTTTCATCTTTGATTTGTCTACACCTTATTTAGTTCTCTAAAACTTCCACCGATATGTGATATTTCTAGTCAAACTTTTTCTTGGTTTCTAACATTTTTCTTCTTGATTTTTCCATGACTTTTCCCCCCTTCATTTCCATTGTAGAAAGATACACTTACCTTCCATTTTATTTGGATTTTCATCCTATACAAAACCAAATGACCAATTCTACCCAAGTTTTTGCATTCCATCAAAATATTTTACATTTTTTTTTTTTTGGCCCGAAGAACATCTATTTTAGAAGATTGAATTTGAAGGCCATCCCTCTTTTCTTTCTCTGTATTCTTGTTATTGAATGATAACCTTTTCTCTCTTACTCTCTCCTCTTTTTTTTTTTTTTTTTTTTTAAGATTATGGATAGGAGAATGTTTGTTAAAATTAGAGGTAGGCATTTCACCACGTATTATGTAGGGAAAATTATATTTTATTCAATCTGATTGTTGAAACTGCAGCTGATACTGGGGTACGAATTTTGAGGAAAATTAATTATAATTAGAGAAATCACAATGGTTTTTTATAGGTGATAAAAAATCTTTAAAGTGGTTTAAATTCGGGAATAATTTTATATTTCTCCCTTGAGGTTTAGCCTTGCTTAGTTAGGTATAAGAAATTTACACTTGCTCTCTTGAAAGGCAATCGCTATGATAACCTAGAAAAGAATACTTATACCCAAATTTGCAAAAATCAAAAAGTAAAAAAAAAAGGAGCGAGAAAATAATAATTAAGATCAATGACGATTGCAATAATTTTTTTAAACCACATAAGGGTATTGCAAAATTAGAGTACAATTTGATGACGCCATCATTAATTTTGGGTTGTTTAAAAATGCAAATTTCAATATCTGGGGAATGTTTATAAAACTATGCTAAATCCTGGGGGAGATGCAAGGAAGTATCCCATAAATGTAAGTGCAGATGTTATTGCAAATTCCCATCAAAGTTCAATGTTTATGAAGCTACGCTAAATCTTTTTGACTGACTTAGTGACTTCTGCTGGAATGGCTATATCTATTGTGCTCATACATATATTATAGGGTAAATTACATATAACTCCCCTGTGATTTCGCTTGTTGCCACATGATCCTCCTAATATTTTAAAATGTTCACTACACCCTCTGTGATTTTATATAAAGTGGAAATTTGTCAAAAAATGACCGATGTAATGTCATTAATTGAAATACCAATAATGTTCTTGTTTAAATATTAAATCAATTGATGGCTTAACTACCTTGTATAAAAGTATAGGAGGATTACGTCGATAAATGCAAAAATCATAGGCGGGGATATTTATACAAATCATAAGGAGGTTACATAGAGATTAAGATTTTACAACACACGTTTTTAGAACGTGTTTGGTATAAATGCCAAAACTAATTATACATTCTGTCCATTTGCCGTTTTATATAAAACTATAAATGGGACATATGGCTAATTTAAAACAGTAGGGTGGTCATCTGGCATTATGTAAATTCACAAGGGGGTTATAAGTAATTTATCCTATATTATATGGTGGGACTAAAACTGGATAGAATTGATGGATTTGAATAAAGTCATAAAGTCTGTTCATAACATCTAACAGTAATTCCAACTTTGACGGTTCAATAACGTGACACGCACTTCGTCTTTTGAAGGGTCAAATAAGCCAAATTTTCATATTGTTTAAATCATCATCAAAGTTGGATATTAAATTTCTACCACTCATATAACATCAACTAATCAATAAAAATCTATAGTTCTCATGAGTCTTTGCCAAAATTTCCACGTCAACTGGCGTGTCAACTATGGAGATGATCTTTTATTCCACATTTAAGGAATCCTAGTCAAAGGAAAAAAAAGAAAGATAACCTTTTTCCCCCTTGCATTAATTTTGGAAGACATATGGATGTTAAAGTCTTTCATATTGTTTAATCAAATCAATCTTTTTGTTTCCATTCTTCTTATGTGACAAGCCTAGCTTTTCATCTTTCATTTATTTCTCTAAAACTTCTGCTCACATTTGATTTTTTTTTTTTCTAATCAACTCTTTTCTTGTTTTCTAACAATTTTCTTCTTGATTTTTCCACGACTTTTCCCCCTTAATTTCCCATGTAGAGACATACACTTACCTTCCTCTTTAGCTGGATTTTCATCTTGTAAGAAAACATACTTAAATTTGTATCACAGAGTCATTAATTGAATGATGAAATCGTTGGCTTTCCGCAAGAAAGTCATGAAATTTGACCATTTTGCTAGTCATGCCATCATGCAGACCCCCCAAATGCCCAGAAGGAGACGGCGTACCGTCAAAATTTCCAATGAAATTTCACCATTTTGCTTGCTCGTCATCAAAATTGGATATTAAATTTCTCTTAAATCAACTGATTAATAAGAATGTTTTAGTTTCCACAAGTCTTTGCCAAAATTTTCACGTCAACTGGCGTATCAAATATGGAGAACCAATAGGAGTCACCTATCGTAGGAAGGTACGGATGTTCCTTCCTACCGGAGGAACGCGCGACGCAAAGATCTATTGATAGCACATCATGGAAGAATTCTCAGCGAAGGCAGGCCCATGTCTAAAATTCTCACGGCAAAGAAGAAATATTTGATGTGATTTGTGGCAGGCTCCAATGATGTTTGAATTTTGTATAAGTTTTTTATTGTTAATGTAAACAAAACAAAATTTCACATTATAATTTTTAAATTAGTAGTTATAATTCTTAAGGTTGATTATGTTGAAAAGCAAAATGAGCAGTTATTTTAACAATTAGTATTTAGGTAGTTAAACTAAGAATCTGCCCTTAATAACTTTAAAAAATGAACTTCTTGATCGAAATATCTAAGAATTGTATATTTGGATCTGAATTGAAGTTAAAATAGCATACCTCAGTCCCATAATAGTATGTATATATTTCCCTATCGTCAGTTCTATTAGTAAGCTTAGTCAAAAGAAATGGAGAGAGCGTTCAGTTACATTCCTCTGGGAATTTTATTAGCCAGTTCTCTGGCAACAACCAATATTATTACTGATAAATCTGCCCTTGTGGCTTTAAAAAACCACATAATTTCTTATCCTTGCTTAATCTTGGCCAAAAATTGGTCCAATTCATCCTTTTGAAATTTCTTGTGACTCTAATTGTCAAAGAGTGGTGGCCTTAAATATTTCTAACATGGGTTTTGAAGGCACAATTCCTTCACAACTAGGAAACCTCTCATTTCTTGTTTCTCTGGACATGAGCAACAACAGTTTTCATGGTTATCTGCCAACAGGGATGTCTCATTTGCGTCGACTAAGTTTCATGGCTTTGAGCAACAATAATTTTGCCGGAGAAATTCCATCATGGTTGGGCGCCTTGGATAGACTTCAATACCTATCCTTGAGTAACAATTCTTTTCTTGGTGATCTTCCTGCTAACATATGCAACAATCTTTCAAATCTAAAAGAGGTTGATATGTTTTCGAATCAGTTGAGCGATGAAATACTATCAGATTTATCAAATTGCTCCAGATTGGAGTCGTTATCTTTGTCATACAACCAGTTCAGCGGATCCATACCTAAAGAACTTGGGAGGCTAAAAATGCCTGAGGTGCTACATCTTGCGGTTAACATTTTAGAAGGTAATATTTCTTGGTTAATTTATTCCTTTACTGGATGCCATATTTAAATTTGTTCACTGTAGAATCATATTTCTTGTGCTACAATCTCTTGGTTGTTGCCAATATATTTCGGTGGAAGTATATGACATGTCGATGTTAAGAGGGCATTAATTGGCTTATGCTATAACATAATAGCTTGTCTGGATCTCTCGGGCAAAGTTCACGTGACCTGCTTCTTGAACTTGGAAGTTCATATCTACAGATAAACAATTTGGATGGTCAAATACCAGAAAGCTTTTTCAAAAAATTCCCTGCTTTAAATTCTTTACATAGGGATCAATAAATTCAATGGGTAAATGCCATGGGGATTGGAAAATTAATCTATGCTTAAGAAGCTGTATCTAGATGATAGCTAATTTGATAGGTATGCTGATTTTCAATGAGCTGTAGTCCTAAATTTGGTGTAACTTTTGAAGTATATTTAAATGAGATTGATTTTCTTCATGAATTGATAGGTCTGATTCCAAACGAGATTGACAACTTGTTCAAATTGGAAAGTCTTGACTTGGGATACAATAGGTTTAAGTGGTTCAATCCCAGTTGGGATCTTCAACATCTCAACTGAGGGTACTTGACCTTTTTGATGATTTGATACACTTTAACTCAATACCAAGTGGTGACTCCGATTTTTTCTTAAAGATCCTTTTTAGACTATTATTTTAGGCCCAAATCGTCGCACTTTTTTTAAGTCTCATTTTAGGCCCTTTTCTTTTGTTTATTTTCTAAAATAAAAAACTCATTTTCCAAATCAAAAAATTCATTTTTCTAACACCTAAAACCATTAGATACACAGTTTATTTTATTATTTTTCAAAAAAAAAAATGGACCAGCAAATCTATTATTTTCAGTGCATGTTTTACTTACCATTTGTGTAGATTTATATGATGTAAATCAAATTGTGCTGGATGATTTCCAACAATCTATTAATGAACCATGTTATCCAAAATAGAATATATTAGGGCACTTGTAAGTCCTTCATTAACAAAATCTAGAAAGATAACAGTAGTATAGTTGAAATGATCAGAAGAGACTTTCAAGAAAAGGAAAAAAATGATCAGTAGATCAAAACTTGTTGCTTTTCCCGATTCTGTATCAACGTGAATTCTTTTTTGGTTCAATGACCTTTTTGACAATAATTTATTTGGCGTTCTTCCATCAAATATGTGCCATGGCCTACACAAATTGGAAGATATTTATCTTGGTAGGAATAACTTCAGTGGAGTCATACTTGCCTCTATTTCAAACTGTTCGAAATTAACCGAAATATATCTTGGTGTTAACAAATTCAACGGTCAAATTCCCAATTCCATTGGAATTGAGACACCTCGAAGTTATATATCTATCTCATAGTGATTTGACAAGTGAATCTTCATCTTCAGAAATGAGTCTCTTCACTTCCCTTATAGTTTGCATCTCTTTAAGGGAGATCTGGGCGGCAAACGATCCATTAAATGGGGTTCTTTCGAGATCCATTGGGAATCTTTCTATTTCTGTTGAAACGTTGAATGCAGGGAGCTGTGGGCTCAAGGGAAACATTCTAGACAGCATTGGAAACTAGAGCAATTTAGCAGATTTAGATCTATGTGACAATTGCTTAACTGGCTCAATTCCAAATACGATGTGTGGTTTACAGAGTTTGGAGTATTTATACCTAAGTCAAAATCAGATTAGCGGTCGAATTCCAGGATGTTTCAATAATCTTAAAGATCTCTTGGAGGTCAACATGTCATCGAATTTCTTGAGAAGACCTTTGGCTCTAGAGATAGGAGAATTAGAGAATTTGACAAAGTTAGACTTGTCAAATGATCAGTTTTCAGGTAAATTTGGAGTTTAGAGAGTTTGGATCACCTTTTTTTAGCAAACAATAGCTTGCAAGGATCAATTCCGGACAAACTTTGACTTAGTACCTTTGAATTTGGGCGTAACAAACCGTCCCATTACAAAATAACCTCTCCGGTTGGATTCCCAATGTCTCATATACTTAAATGTTCTCTTTTCAAGAATTAAGTCGTGACTCATGTACTCTTACTATGTAATGAACATAGTAATGAATTAAGACTTGTGTAGATTTGCTTGATTCCAATATCCACCATACCATAGCTATTCTAAACAATAAAATGAAGGACAATAAAGGTGCACATGCATATATTTATTGTGTCAGAACTATTCTAATTTTTTTAAAAATTCAATTAGGAAGTGAAACTTTTCCCTAACTAGCAAAAGATATTAAGAAAATAATTGTTTAAAATTACTATGTTAGCCCATGGTAAAAAATTAGAGTAGTCCCTTTCATTTAAAGTGATGGTAATTTTTTTTCTTGTGAATTCATCCTGGAAGGCACGTTTTCTTTTACCAGTGAAAAATTTGTAATTTTTTTTAAAAAAAATGTAGTACATTTTTTCTTTATCGGTACCGTCACTCTCACTTCATAATTGGAAAACCACAGTCGAAAAGCATTCGGTATCATAATTGAAGACTAAAGAGCTATTGTGTTATTTTCTTGTTGCTTTGATGAAAATAATATGACAGACATGCCTTAATTTTGATAAAAAGGGAAAGCCGCTGCTAAAACAAGGTTACAGATATTTGTAGCAAATGATTGACACCAATTCACTTGTTCTTCCGCATGAAGTTCGTGTCATGGAACATGGAGAATAACGGTGATTAAAACCACGGATTAAATGACTATTAATTTAAGTACGCATGAAACATTACGTTGAAATAGAGTAGTGAGACATCAATCTTAATTTTTGGATCTTTTAACATTATTTTGTCCATGACTTATCTTTCTTAAAGGCTTGGAGGTGGCAAAGGTGAAGTACATATATACAACATTAATATCAGCTAAGAATTATATCCTTATATTATATAAGAATGAGTTGTGATTAAAAGAGTTTTGAATTTCAACCGTATGGATAGGGATTTTTTGAGAATATGAAATGTTGCATAGTATTTTTAAAATTTTTTGATACAATTGAGAACAGCATGTGTTTAAGAATATTTACCAAAATGCCCTCATTTTGAATCTTTGATTTATGGAGACATTTGGGTATTTCTAGAATATGGAATTATTTTGCAACCGTTTTTGCATCGAGTACAACTCATATAAGTTTATGTGTTGGTATAGTTATTAAAATGGTGTTACAGATACATTTAATTGAAGTGCAGCTTTTGTTGTGCAATTAACACAAAAACAAATTAACACGTTGTGCAATTAACACGTTGCCATCACTAGTCGTTGGAGAATATTCCTTTATTTGAAACAACTTTTGTCTGCTCTTTGATGATTTTCAACTGACACTTGTAGGGGTCTTTCGAGAATGATGAAATTATAATAGCATTGATAAAACAAAGTATACAAGTGTGTATTACAATTAGAATGTACTATTATACCTTTGTCATATTTGATGACTATTTCTTTCCACAGTATATATACTATTATTTGTTCAATGAAAAATCCTCTCTAACCATATGCACCAAACAAAGGGGTTTGAATTTCAACTATATGGATAGAAATTTTTTGGGAATGCGGAATGTCGTGTAATTTTTTAAAAATTTTTGATACAACTGAGGGTAGGATGTGTTTAGGTATATTTATCGAAATGTCTTCATTTTGGTACATTTAAAAATTTTGTTGGTATAATTACTGAAATAATGTTATAGACACATTTAATTGAAATGTTTTTCATACAATATATCAAATATTTTAAAAATATTTATAGTAAAAGTTTTTCATATAGACTACCATAGTAAAATTTTTCAAAAATATCTCCAAAAACAACTAATCAATCAAAAAATACTGTCATAGTTATTTTAAAAAAGTTTTCTACTCGAGTATACCACATTCGGACCTAATTTCAATTTCAATATAATTTTGTTCTTATACGTGGATCGTGGAGTGGATCGAGAAAACGGGTCCTAGAGTTTCACAGTCTAAATTACTTATGTTAGATATGGAGCATCCAGCATTTTTATCCATTTGGTATATGACTAATGTAATTCTATCATTAATGCAGATGGCAGATTTAATAAAAATGATGATGTTTTTAATTAAAAGGAAAAAAATGTAGGATAAGTATTGAAAAGCGTATAAATGGGATTGGTCTAAATTGGCGAATAGGAACCACAAACAAACAGAGAAACAAATTATTTTTGCGGGTACTTTGTAAGGCCAAACTGAAATACAAACTTATCACGTAACCATGAGAGTCACGTTTATTTTTTGTTTTTCTTTTTTGTCGTGAGAAGCAAGTTGAGACACGTCTCAACTTATTCCATCCTAGTATATTTTTTGTATAACATAAGAACGAGTACTTCTTAGTGTAGCTGCTTTCCGTGCGGCCACGTGACTGTTGGGAGGAGAAGTTTGCATTTATTTTGCTTCCTTGAATGGATGGAACAGATAAGAATGGATGGAAATGGATAAGAGTGGATTCTTTGGATAAGAATGGATGTAAATGTAAGTGGATGGAAATGGATAAGAATGGATAAGACTATTCCCTTGCTATGGATAAGAATGGATAAAAATGGATGGAAATGTAAGTGGACTAGGCCTATCAACAGTTCGGCTCTAAATTCAGATTCGGATAGGATCCGTCAAATTATTTCGGATTCAGGTAGAAATTTAATTTCATTACCCGGATCCGGACTCGAATACGTTTTGTCAAACAAAAAAAACGTCGGATACAGGATGTAGTATATCGATCCACATCCGACCCGGATCCGGATATAAATAGATTAATAATTTAAAAACATATATATTTATCAATATAATTTGATTTTGGTGATGTATTTGAGTAAGGTCAATTTGATTTCTTTTCTTAGTTGATTTTTTTTGTATTAGTTAGAAATTAGTTTACAAATGATTTTTTTCTCATTTTTTTTGCAGAAAATTGTGAAACTTGAAATGATGCATTTGATATTTAATATTTGAATGGACCTTTTAGAAGTTGTAATTTGTTAGATTTCATATTGATTTTGTCGTTTTGCAATGACTTTTGTAAATAGATTTGTGGTACACTTAAAAATGATTATTGTGAGTGATTTGTGATTTAACTTTGTAATTTGTGGCTTAGATTTGTGATTGGCTTTGAACGTCTTTGTAATTTGCTGCAAAACATGTTTCATTTTAAATTCTTGGCAAAATAGGTTTCGTTTTTAAATTGTTGCAAAACAAGCTTTTGACAGGTTTTTTTCCGAGTCAGATTCGAATCCGAGACCCGTTGGATCCAAATCCGAAACATAGAGTAGAAGACCTGCATGGTAAATGGGCCGAATTCGAGTCCGATGTAGTATGCTAGGTCCAGGTCCGAAATAATGAATTTCAAACCAGACCCGACCCGTTGATAGGCCTAGCTACAGCATAAAGGGTAGGCAATGTTTTAAAACTCGGACCGTTAATTGAACTGGTAAAGTGTTCGGATCAAGGTTCAACCGGTCGGATCGGTTCAACCCTAGTTCAATGAATTTTTAAAAAAATAATTTATATAACTATATATATGCACAAAATAAGACATGCAATAGACTAATTTAAAATTTTATATGATGAAAAGTTTACTATTTTTGAATAACTTGAATTTTAAAAAATAATGAAATTATAAGTTGAAACAAATAAATTTCATCTCAATATCAATTATATCTACGAAAAAATAATCTTAAATCTAACACAAAAATACCAAAATATTTTGAAATTATACAAAATTCATGTCTATGAGAATTTAGACATTTTGAGCTTAAATTTTAATTTATGTTTTTTTGGAATTTAGACATTTCAACTAAAAAAAAAGGAAATTTGGAGTTTGAAGGAAGTCAAGAGAATCGAAAATAGAAATACAAACTTCATAAGAAACAAAAAATGAGATAAAAGTGATTGGTTGTAGCATTTAATAATTAGTTGTTACAGTTAAAGAAAAATAATCTTTTTTAATTTTTTTCAATTTAATGGACAAAAACAAAATTATAAATGGAAGAAAACATCAATAAATTAAAACTAAAGAGGTTTGATTAAAAAAAGGAGTAACAAAAGAAAAGAGGAGGAAAGAGAGATAGAGTTGAAGAATAAAAAAAAAGAATCATGAGATGATGAGATTTTGTAAGAAAAATGGAGAAAAGAAAGATGGATGTTTGTTTTATATAAATAAGTTATCAAAAAAAGGCTAATAAAATGGAATGGTATAATCGTTAATACATTGGTCTTCTATCACAAAGGTCTTGAATTTGAACCTTGGTAATTGTATTTTGCAAAACTTAAAAAAAAAGGAGGAAAAAGTTGAAAATTGGAAACCACTGGTTCATCAATTTTAACGGGTTTGACCGATTTTGACCAATTTTTTGATAAAGTCAACCCCAGTATAGAACCGGATCTGGTTCGGTTTTCAAGTGTGTTTGGATTGTAAATTATTTGAAATAATTTTGTGAAAAAAGTACTGTAGCACTTTTTTGATATGATGTATGTGAGATAAAAAAGGTGATTGAAAAATGTATTGATGATGTAAGCAAATCAGTGTGTGTAAATAAGGTGTAAATAATGTGTAATAATTTACATCCAAACACACATTACTGGCTCGGGGAGACACAAATTAGGTGTTGGTAGGGATTGGAATAGTGTAGTTTACGGTTTCCACATTTTTACTTTACTTAAACCTATCTTTGTCTACCTAACCGGCATGGTCCCGGAAGAATTTGTGTCTCAATTGTCTTGGGCCATCCAGCTTTTTTTCAAAATTCATCATGATGTGATGTTTATTTTTTTGAATCAAAATTTTCTTATATATAAGAGAGAATGCCCAATTATTTGAGCTTTTCTTTTTGTCACTCGTTAATGATCTACTCTACTCCTACTCCTACTCTAATGTGTGTGTGTATATATATCCTTATACTATATAAAATTGAGTTTTGGTAAAAAAATAGGTTGAATTTCAACCGCATAGATGGGGGCTTTCTGGGAAGGTGAAATGTTGTGTATTAGTTTTAAAACTTTAGGTACAAGTTAAGGAAGCATGTATTTGGGTATGTTTACTGAAATGACCCCATTTTAATACATTTAAAGTTGTCATTGATGAGGCATTTGGGTATTGATGGAATGTGTAATTAGTGTGCAACCGTTTTTGCATTTTGTACAACTCATATATGCTTGTGTGTTGGTGTAATTACCGGAATATTCTTTAGCTACCAATAATTCCCTTTTTCAGCCGCAAATAACCGTTTGAGACGTTGCTTTGTCTGAAACATTTGAATGACAATCGGGTTTAGGAAATGAGCGAACAATTTCTCTATCAATGGTAGGAACCCATTTCTCTATCATTTATAATCTGCATTTATGAGCCACAAACGTTAGTCATTTTATCCCCTTTCAGTTTCAAGAGTTAAGGTTTCCCTTTTTGCCTTTGTCTTCAACGAATTGCCTCATCGTTTTCTTTTTCATCCGAACTCAACTCTGAAATTACCTATTATTTCATCATTAATTACACCCAATTCAATTTCCGAATCGTTGGTATCTTAATGTCTAAACGGTTGATTATCAGTTTCTCCCTGTTCATATTCTAAGATTGGGATAATTCTACCTGGCTTCATACTAATCAGCTCAGAATGCTCTTCAGTCCCAGCTACTCCTGGTGGTTCAGCGTGGGGTTAGATTTCACCTCCCTAATTTTTCAGTTCCTCCCTTAATTTTGTCGGTGTGTTCTTAGTACCTATAATTAGCGACTCTTATCGTGTTGCCTAACTGCAAGATAGCATTTTTCGCATTGCCTAACCCCAATTGGTCTGAGTTGGTTATAATCTTATAGGTTTGGAGCAACAGCAAGAAAGAGCTCTCGGTGGAGATTCTGGAATAAGGTTAGCTTTTTGTGTTGCTTTGCCTTTCTGCATTATCAACGACCTTTAATTTGACACAGTTTTATTGTAACGTTGTGTAAATTGATTGATTATATCGTTTATCTTTTTATACTAAGTTTTATTTCTTTTCACAATATACTATTGTTTGTTCAACAAAAAAACCTCCTTCCCCACAGGCATTAAACACCCGCGCGATGCGCAGGCACTTGCCTTTAGTGTATATATATATATATATATATATATAAAATAGAGTTGTATTCTAATACTTATCCGTTGTTTTTTACCTTTTTCTCATATAGCTATTTGACACAGTGCGTTTTCCACACTTTCTTTCTCAATGTCTACGCGCTCTTTGACTAGCTATTTTTTTTCTCTCAATTTTCTTTGTCTTTATTCTTTTTTTCCCTTTGGATGATGTTTCCACAAATATCTTTAAATTAAAATTTATTATTATTCTTATCACATGTGTTGTCATGTTGAATTCTCGATATGCTTTTTCTAACAAATGTCTATCTCACTCTTGACGGTTCATTTTTAATGGACCCTATTAGAATTTTTTCAAATTAAATTTTGAGGAATCGATGGTATGAGAGAGGGAGTATAAGCGAAAGATCTCGGGTTCGAGACCTCCCACTTACCTGAAAAAAAAAGCTTCATTTATAATTCTCTACACAACTTTTACTCTGAATTCTTAGCAATTGTATTTTTTTTATCAAGTATGGTTTTTTTTTTTCCTTTTTTAGTGTAAGCGGGAGGACTCGAACCCGAGACCTCTTGCTTACACTCCCTCCCGCATACCACATATGACTTTATTAATTCTTTGGTGTTGTGTGTTTTATCAAATTATTAGGGGTTTCCCATGAGCACTTTTTCAAGATTAATTATGATTTTTTCATAAGTGTTTTTTCCTTTTTTTTTATTTTCAGGCCAATTTCAAGATTAATTATGATTTTTTCATAAGTGCTTTTTTTTCTCCTTTTTTTTTTGTTTTCAGGCCAAAATACATAATCTTTGAAGGAGTACTAAAGAAGTAGTTCATATGCAATTTTAGACTTTTCATGCTCAGAGAATTTCTAGAGTTTGAGAAGGCAAATTTTTTTTCTTTAATTTTTTACGGTAGGTGGGAAGTTTCGAATTCGGGACCTTTGACTTATATTTCCTTTTCCTATACTACCCAACTTATCCCTCTTCCTCAACCCAAAAAAAATAGCAAAAACAAGTTCATTGTCTACAACATGGTTGGATGCATGGTGCACAAACCCCAAATCCAAAACTAGTCTTATTCAAGTATTATAGTTTTAAATAATTATATTTGGGATTAAAGGGAATTTTTCATTCCATTGGAGGTGTTTTAAAGTTAGGAGTTTGTAGTAATTATGTGGTATAGAGAAATTATACAAAGCTTTTTTTACATAAAAAATTATACTTTAATATGGTTGAAAATCATTTTGCTTACATATATAATATATACCTATTTTTAGAAAACATTTTCAAAATTTTCATGGTGACGCTATTTATTTTGGCCTTTTGTTTTGGATTTAGCTAAATTATTTTTGCCTTTCAGTTATCACAAAGCTAGCATGAAGAAGTAAAATAGGTGCAAACAAATATTGTTTATTCCTATATTCTACATCAAGGGGATTGGTCACGAAATTCTTAGCAAATAAGTCCAAATGATTTTATGTCATAAATTTCATGTTACTACAATAGGTTGCCAATTGTCATTACTAGATTAGAGCAAAACACTGAAGCAACTTCCTGATTTAAGTTTTTATTTTTATTTCCTCATTAAGCTGTTTACTTTTAGTTTCACTGAATCTTACATGACTATTCACCTTTTGATTGAGTGATGATTGGTATCAAACACTATAAGGTAAAGATGCAAAAGTTATATATGTGGAAAGAATATATATAAGAATGACACATTTCATATTTTTGATATCGCTTCCAATCAACGATAATGGATTGTGCAAATGCACAGGGTTTAATCTAGTTATACAATAAGTGCTAAAAATTTCAGGCTTTCGTGCGCAAATATTTAGATTTGCTGTGCAGTTACCCACAAAGACGTATTCTCAAGCATCGTTAGGGGCGGATTAGCTTGACACTGATGGAAGTACCAGAGACTACTTGTTAATTGAAACATACATCAATGAGGTCTTCAATGAAAATGTACATCTGATGAACAAAGTACTTGAATGCTTTCCCCTTGATTCCTAAATTTTAAAATGAGACACTATGGTCCCAATTTAGTTTTTAAAATATAAAATCTGTTTCATTTGAGGTCTAAAATACAAAATCTGTAGATCTTGCTACTTGCAAACAAAAATATTCACTCCGTCCCACTTTGATAGTCCTGTTTTTCTTTTTCGTCTGTCCCAAATTGTAGTCTACTTTCCAATTGAAGAATGTAGTTGTATTTTAATTTTTCTAAAATGCTCTTATTTAATGTAAGTTGTTGTTACTATAAACCTATCCCATTTAATGAAAGTTGATTCTTCTTTTACCATCAATTCAAGTTTCCATAAAGTTGTACTCTAATTAATGTGAGAGTATTTTAGGAAAATAGCTACCTAAATTGATTGTTCCAACAAAATTAACTACTTTTTCGTAAACTGTGTGAAAAAAAAAATCAGGACTATCAAAATGGGACAGAGAGAGAATAACCCAAAATTTAGGTTGGGATTCGAGCTACATACAGAAGGACTTTTTCAAATGGATCAACTTTTTTCCTTTTTGTTTTCCATTGCAAACCAGTCTAATCCTAATGCGACTGGGCCGGCTGGGCCGCCCTTTCGAAGGGGAGAAAATAAGAAAAGGAAAGCTAAATAAGTTAAACAATCGATTTCTGATAATGATGCAGCACGTTAATCCTCCAAGCAACATCCCCAAGGACTTGATGTGCTTTTTTCTAGTTATACGAAGAATGCTCGTACCCTTATAATGAGTTTGGGTTCAGAACCTCATTTACTATGTGTACTGAAAAAAATTGATCAATTGTATGGAGTTAAATCATTGATATCATGATATGCAAGACAGTTCAGTTGTCCCAGTGGATATAAAGCTATGGGGTAAAATATGTTAGCAATGATTGATTATGTGGGTGCACATAACGGTATATGATGTAACGAACTGGCCATTGAACTGATTTAACTTGTAGATGAGCATGCAAGAAAACCCATATAATTAATAGATATATAAATTTGGAGTTGCAAAGTTTCTCTCCTAGTAAGTGCTCTTAAATTTTCCCAAGGGTAAATTAACCATAACCCCTTTTAGTTTCATACCCCCTCACATGGCCACCTAACAATTTAAAATATCTACGTCAACCCACTATTTTTTCATGCAAACTAGAAACTTGACGAAAAATAGCCTTTGTAATATCGTTAGTTGAAATGTGAGTATTGTTCTTACTTAAGTACTAAATCAAACCACAGCCTAACCATCAAGCAAAAAATCATAAGCGAATTATATGGATAAATGCAAAAACTACAGGGGACAAGTGACTATTCATACCCATCGCAGGTCAATTAAGTGCTACGATTGATTATTCAATCGCTATAACCGATGATACTTTCCATCTATTTTTCACTTTTTATAAAACCACAGTGGCGATGTGAATGTTCTAAAGCTTTGGGAGGATCATATATATTAATATGCACATATTTTGGGAGGTTATGTATAATTTACCCTCATTCTTTTTAATGATGTGGAGAAAATTTTGACTTCTGCAAAGGTGTATTAATTAGACCTAGACGTCAATTTTTCGACTTACAAGTTATGCATGACGGTTACTTTCTTACCCAATTACATATTCAACCCAACGTTGTTAACCGTTATCAGGCCTTTCAAAGTAGGACCACACTGCTCTCTATTGTATTGAATAGAACTTGCTCTTCATTATATCCTAATAAAATTAATTTAAATTCTTTTGCAAGTCAATACCGTTCACAATATGTTCATCATTTGTGCAAGTTATACATAAGATTTCATATGAAATTGATTAAGTTTTTCCCTCTTATTAATCATTACAAACTTTATTACAATTTTAAAAATTACAATTTTGACTCCGTTTTCACCGTTCAAATATTTCATATAAATTGAATGTCAAACTATTCTTAAAACAAAACGAATATTATCTTTTGAATATGTTGATTTAAGAATCAAAAGAAAAGTATTGACATTCGGATGGTTTTATAAGACTATACTAATTTTGATATAAGTAAATGGGGAGAAATTCAATGAAGAGAATCTTAACCCTAAAATGGATAATGCTTTTCCATCTCAAAATTAATTGAAAATGGGTAGTAGTCCAAGAACTTATATGTAAGGTAGACCTAATCCGTGTACTTAATTATAAATGCACCTTGAGATCCTAATAGATTCTTGATCGTATATGGAAGTAGTATTAATTGATTTATGGCAACACCTCAACTCTCCACATTTGTATATTATTACATGATTATTTTAACTATTTTATTATATTTAATTTTATAATTGTTATAATTATTGTTATAACTGCTGGTAATTTTTGTATTCGACTTTTGTATTTTTGTTCCAGTGAAACAACATGTACAGTAATTGTAGTATTCCCCAGCAAAATTAAACACGACGACAGTGATGCCATTCACGGTGTTTTTCACAGAAATCGTACCATTCACGTTTTCATGTACTGATGTTTGGATTTTCTGGATGCTGAACATCCACTTGACATAAACTCATCTATAAAATGGTCCATCACTGTGCAACTAGACTCATCAAAGCAAAACCACAAGAAATCACTGAAAAGACAAAAAAAAAATGGCTCTCTCCTTGCAACCGCTGTTCTTAGCAATAACATTCCTGTTGATGGCATCTCTGATCGGGTCCTCCGGAGCTGTTCCAATTTCCACCTATTGGGGCCAAAACCGCACCGAAGGAAGCCTGAAGGAGTTATGCACTAACGGTACTGCTCAATACGTGAAAGGTCCTGTTCAGTACGTGAATATTGCCTTTCTGAGGAATATTGGTGGTGGCCGAACACCTGTATTGAGTTTAGTGCATTGTAATTCGACCACTTGCCCCTTACTAAGTTCGGAGATAGAACTTTGCCAGAGCCTAGGCATCCAAGTGTTAATTTCTCTTGCTGGAGCTCCGAACATTTCTTCCACCGCTGAAGCTTACGAAGTGGCATCCTATATCTGGGACAATTTCTTAGGTGGCAGTTCAAGCTCTCGTCCATTAGGCGAAGCCGTTTTAAATGGTGTAGACTATCATATCCACTCTGGAAATCCAGATAATTTCTTGGATGATCTTGCTCGGGCACTGTCGGGATACAACACACCAGAAAATAAGCAGGTGTACTTATCTGCTGGACCCGAATGTGTTCTGCCTGACCCTTGGCTTGACGCTTCTATCAGAACTGGCCTTTTTGATTACGTGTGGGTGGAATTTTTCGACAATACAGCTTGTCAGTATACCCCAGGCAATCTCACTGCCCTCTTCCAGAGTTGGGACGCTTGGGCTTCGTATCCAGGCGTTAATGCACTATTCCTGGGAATTCCTGTATCCCCAGAGGTCGCACCTGACGGCGGTTACATCCCATATGAGGTGCTAGTTAGTGTGGTTCTTCCCTTTGTGGAGACCTATTCCAACTTTGGAGGGATCATGCTTTGGCCCTACGTTCATCATCACCCACATTACAGTGAGAAATTCAGGGTGCAGTCCTATGCTGCTATCTAATCAGTTCCTGTCGTTATCTATTGGCAGATGAAATGTAGTCCTGGCTCTTCATGCCAGAGGCAAAAATGATAAATAAAAAATGGGTTATCAATCCCCAAATTTAAATCAATTGCTGAATGAAGCGGGATCATGTTTGATTTTGAATTTGTGTCTATTCTTCAGCAAAACATAATGCGAAAATTATGGTTGGTTCTAATTTTTCCTTGTTCTTCAGCAAAAAAGGGAGCTGGAGAAGAAAAGAACATGCAAAAAGTAGTAGATGAAAGCCTGTTTCAATATTGATTGTTGAACATAACCTACGTGCTCAAAAAACTAAAAAGGAAAAAAATCATACCTATATTTTGCTTTCCGTGTCCTATGTATCTTTAGATATATATTTGTTCTCCATTATAAATATATTCCCATAAGAACCTTCATGTGTTTCGGCCTTTCGGGACAACTTGTATTAAAAAATGGAGTTACTATAGCTCACTTCTCCTGGAGTACGTTTACAAAATTTAGGTGCAAATATAGTGCAAAATTGAGAGCTTTTTAAATCTTGGAAGCCTAAATAAAATTCTATTATCAAGCTTCAGAAGCGGGGACGGAGGAGGAATGGGAAGTTTGGGGGGGTTTTTTTGAGGGAGGGAGGGAGGAGGGGAGGGGGAAGGCAGGGGTGAGGGATAATTGTCCTGAGTAAACACCACATGAATGAGGAGGAAATTCCGAAATGATGGCGTTTTCCTAAAAGATTTTCCTAAAAGTGAAAATGCATTCAATTAATACAATCTTTACAACACGCATTTACTAAATGCATTTGTTAAGAAATAAATATTTAGAAAAATCAAAGAATGCATTTGCCCAATGGAGCGGTTCTAGAAATAAGGCTTGCCAAGTTAAAAGTTTTCCAAACCCATTTGATTTTATTAGGGTACTTGTACTCTCACTTCCTTTGCTCTTCTCCAACTTCTCTCTACTTCTTCTCAAAAGGCCTTCCAAATCCATGGATACAATTTTTACTCTGGTTTTCTAATAAAGTCTCTTCTCAAATTTTTTTAGTGAGAGATCTCTGTTTCTCTTAGATTTCCTATTGAGAAATTTCTATTTCTCTTTTGGATTTCTAGTGAAAATTTTCTGTCATCACTAGTGAAATTTTTGTTCAGTTTCTTTTTGTTATTTTGTTGGTATATCTGAATTTATTTTAGATATGGATATCAATCTTTATTTTTTTTAAAAATCTTAGGTCTATTTCAATAGATTTCATAATTATTATTGGAGATTAAAGTAATTAACTAATAGATTTGGCAATTGCAACATGTACAGAATGGAGTTGCAGAGAATTATCTTATTAGAAAACAATCTTGAAATTTCTTTGTATTTTTCATATTTATTCATAATTTTTCAGATTTTGTTGTATCTGTTAAATTGCAGGCTTTGTTTGGCATCTTATTTTTATGGGTGTTTTAATAGACAAATTTTTAACAACTTTTTCTATGGAAACCCCAAAAATTTTAAAAATACGCACGCCAAAAAATTTTCCAAACACTCAAATACCTAAAAGGTTTTATAAAAAGTCTACAGTAGGCTATAGT